CTTATCCTACTGAGCCATCTCCCCAGCCCCTGCTATGTAGTTCTAAGTGGCCTTGAAAGTGCTCTGTAGTCCAGGCTGGCCTTGAACTCACTGCAGACCTCCTGCCTCACCTCCCAATGCTGGGATTACAGGCATGTACCACCACACCTAGTTTAGAGATATTTTAGATTTAAACCAAAATACTGGGTTAATCATGGCCATATAGGCAAACAGAGTGTAGACTGTCACTCTATAAACATGGAGTGAGGGTGCCTGGGTGCCAGACACTGTGCTGATGGTAGACACAGACACGAGTGACCCAATGACTTCCTAGAATGAGCTCATGGTCTACTGGGGTGATGGACAAGTGAGCATGGAACAAAAAAAAAAAAAAAAAAAGAATGCAGACATCAGCTACAGGGATTATAAAACATTCTGATAGAGAGAAATGCCTGGAGCTAGTTGAACCCAGATGTGAGCCAGGCTGAGGAGAGTCAGGAAAGGCTGGAGGGCATGGGGGGGTCCTCACAAAGGAAATGGTGAGCTGGGCTCTGATCAGGGCGGCATGCCTCTAGGGGGAGGGAAACTGAAGGTAGAATGTGGGAGGCTGGTTCAGAACAGCAGCTAGGGAGAGGCAGGACTCTGGCAAGGTCCTGGGCTGCTGTGGGTCACCATCTTGATTTGGGGAGCTTTCACAGGGGAGTGTTGGGAATGTGACCAAGACTGAGAAGTGCTCCTTAGTGCTCCTCCCTGTTATTGACCTGCCATCCAACAGGCATTGAATGAGATGCTCTGGACCATGCCCTGTCTGGGGGCTGAATTTAGAAGAGTAAAAAAGATACCGTCTTTGACCTTGATGGCCCTCAGTGCGCCAAATGCACAGTGAACATGAAGAAGTAGGGGAACCAGGACAAGGAAGGGGGGCTGCCCAGTGAGGTGATGTCCACTTTGTGAAAGGAAACTCAACAAGGCACCTCAAACAAAACATGGAGTTTCACAGCTTAAAATCCATAGGAGGGGCTGGAGGGATGGCTCAGTGGTCTAAAGCACCTACTTGGAACAGGCTTGGCAAAGCACAGGGACCGCGGTTCAATCCTCCAGCGCCACATGCCAGCTGGCCACGCCCCCTGGTGGGCTGAGCTGGACACACACACACACACACACACACACACACACTAAAGTGTAGAAAAAAAAAATCCATAGGAATAGGGACTAGGGAGATAACTTGGCAATCTAAGAGCCTGCCTGGCTAGCACGAGGACGTGGGTTCAATCCCCAGTACTGCATGCTGTGCTGGCTCAGTAACGCTGGGCCCACCAAGCTGGCCACCTAAACAGGACATGATAACAGCACATGCTTGTAACCCCAACACAGGAGAGGCTGAGACAGAAGGATCACTACACCCTGTACCAAGTAAATCAAAATAAATTTTAAAAGACTTTTTAAAAAATCCCAAGGAGCAGATTGGTGATAAAAAGGCTCTTACCCCAGGAATTTGAGTCCACACTGCGAAAAGCACCATTATAAGCTGCCCCAGCAGGATTCCCTGCGCTTTCAACACAATGGAGCTTAGCCGGTTCTTGTTCTAGGAGGCTGGACCCACCGCTCCCAGAAGCAGACCATGTGAATTCCAAGACCAGTCTTCAACAAGGAAATGTAAAGGAAATTCTATCCTTTTTGCCTGCCTTTGCTTTGCTCTTGCTCTACAACTGGAGCAAGGTTTTTTTTTAGACAAGGACCCCCATGTAATCCAGGGCTATCCTTAAACTCACTATGTATCCTAGGATGGCCTCAAACTAACAGCAATCCTCCTGCCTCAGCCTCCTAAAAGCTAGGATTACAGGTATTGGGCCACAGTGCTTGGCTCTGGAGCAAGAATTTTTATTATATGTTTACCCACTTGCTGTCTGATAGGCAATATATATATATATATATATATGTATTTCTTTAATGGGATTTATTAGAATTGAGAGGACCTATCTCTATCCTCTTAGGACCCCATTTCTGTTGCGTGATACTATAAATTGTTTTTTCTTCTATTTTTCTATAATCTCCAAATTTTTCCTAATAAGAATTATTAAATTTGTGATGGGAAAACATCTTTTAAAAATGGACCTTCTCTGAGCTAGGTGTGATGGTGCATGCTTGTAATCCCAACACTTCGGGAGGCTGAGGCAGGAGTGCCACAAGTAAGCCTACCCTGGACAATGTAATGAGGCTGTCTGCAAATAAAAAGAGGACTGGGACTGCGTGACAGTGCGAAGACCCTGGGTTCAGTCTCTAAAATCAAGAAAGAAAGAAAAGGTTGGTAAAAGTTCTCTGGTTGAATTCATCTGTGGCTGATGTCTCCGGCCATCCAGTGGAAGGGCCTGTCTGAAGCTGTTGAACGAAGAGTTACAGATTTGGGGAGGAACCAGCAGAGCTGGATTTAGAAACCTGCGAGACCGGTTTAGGTATTTGCCTGAGTCTGTGAGCTTAGTGGTATCCAGTGAAAACTTACCCGCGATGTGACACGGTACAATGTGTTGTGCGACACTGGCCAGTACTGGGTCGAAAATTTCTACCTTCTAGAGTCAAGGGATATCTTGACAGAAACAATTCCAACCAGTGCTCAGCTTACAATTCTGGATTTGGTGTTCTCCAGGCTGAACGAGGGCTTCCTAAGCACCCAGAGCACCTTCCCACTTGGTTGGGTTTTTTTGTGTTTTGTTTTGTTTTGTTTTGTTTTGTTTTGTTTTGTTTTGTTTTGTTTTAATGCGTTTGGAGGGGTCTGAGTTCAATCCCCGGTTCTGAAAAAAAAAAAAAAAGTGTTTGGTACAGGGTCTACAGGGTCTACAGGGTCTACAGGGTCTACAGGGTCTACAGGGTCTACAGGGTCTGTGTGCACAGCTCGGACTCGCAGTGATCCTCCTGTTTTCAGCCTCCCCAGCGCTGGGATTACAGGCGCGCGCCGGCACCCCGGTCTCAGTCCCGCCCGGCTCAGCGCGCCCGGGGACGGGACGGGCCGGCACGGCAATGGTGCCCACCCGGTTTTATAAATGAGCGACCCAGGCCGGTTCGGGCTGCAGCGTCTCTTTTACAGGGACACCAGCGCTTTCTGTGCCTTCCCAGTTCCTGCAACATTGTGCCTTTCGTAAAGCTGGTAAGGCTGACACTACATAGAATAATAAAACTCCTTCACAGCGCAGGGAATCTGGGCGGAGTTGAAGGGGCGCTTCGGAATTTCCAGGACGCCCCACGAGCGGCCCCGCGCACCAGGCGCTCCGCCCCGCTCGCGGACTTCCGGCAGCCGGCTCCGCCCCGTCGGCCCAGGACTACATGTCCCAGCATGCCGCGCGCGCCCCGCTGCCTTCCGCTCGCGCGCCGCGGTAGGCGTGGGCTCCGTGCCCGGCCGCGTCATGGAGCTGGCGGGCTGGGTGATCGGCGGCGAGTTTGAGGACTCGGTGTTCGAAGAGGGGCCCGAACGGCGGCCCGGGCCCCCGGCGCCCTACGGCGCCAAGCGCTGCGAGCCGCAGGTGAGCGGGCGGCGAGCCCACCCCGGGCCTCCCCGCCCTCGGGGCCGCGCTCCCGGCCCGCACGCCCCGCGGAGCCCCCGCGAAGGGCCGCTCCCTGCTCTTCGCCCACGCTGCGTCCTCCGAAAGTCGCTTCCAGCTCTCCTGGGCGACACCGGTGTCTGGGCCTTCTGCGCCGTCTGTAGGGCGACACCGGTGTCTGGGCCTCCTGCCCCGTCCGTCAGCTGGTGCGCGGTGCGCTGTTGGCGCGAAGCCCCTCGACGCGGGGCGCGTCCGGCCTCGAGCAGCCGCGGGCCCGGCGGTCTGGGCGGAGAGGGGAGCTCCGTGCGCGCCGCGGAAGCGGTGGGCTGTCCGGGGGCGCGGGCGCCGTGCCGGGCTCCTTCACGCGGGCCACCCCGTCTTGGCCCGCAGCAGTTGGCTTAACAGGTGCCAGGCGCTCCGCGCTTGTGTTTGTTTCAGGTCCATTTCTCCTTCCCATATGCAGTCGTTCAGCCTCGCCATCAGCACCCGCTTGTAAACTATGGAGGTTGGGGAGGGGGCTGAAGCCGCGTGCGGTGAAGCACAGAAAAGCCCGGCTAGGGGTGGTTACCAGTTGCCTCTCAGGGTCGTTTCCTTACTTGGCGTGGTGGCACATGCCTGAAATCCCAGCAGTCAGGAGATTGAGGCAGAAGAATCTTGACTTCAAGGTCGGCCAGGGCTGCTCAGTGACACTGTCCCCAAACAAACAAAATGATGATGATTTATCGTGGGAGTGAAACGATGTGTATGAAAATGCTTGTGATGTGCTGTATCCGGTACTTGGGAAGTAAAACTCAAGAGTCTGTTCGCTTTCCCTTGCGTTTGCTACATGCTTCTGAAAATATGCTGCTGACAAGTGCAGTCAGCTGTTATTCGAGTTCTGCTGGTTTCCTAGGAGTTTGGGCTAGAAGATTCCTGTTTGTAGTCTGCTCAGACGCGCAGGAACCAGAGCTTTGCAGAACTCCTGAGCTCACACCCTTGCTCACAAGGTTCTTCCCCTTTCCTCTTATCAGGGGTGCTAATTGAAGGCCTGGTCTGTCTGTATTTCAGGCCTGTTAGAGAATAAAAATAGTCTTTTGGAAGCCTGCTTTGCTTGGCCTTCCCCAGTAGGATACATTGGCTGGAGGTTCATGGGTTATTATTTTTTTTT